GGTAAGTTCGACACGGACGAGCTGTTCACGAGCCTCAGTCGGCCGGTCGAGGTACGTGTCCGAGCGACGATGACCGAGGTGCACACTCAGCATGCACGCCCATCGTTTCAGGCCGTCTACACCGGAGTACTGTTCGGTTCGGAGGACGAGCGGCGATTGCAGTTCCTGCGCGACTGTCACGAAGGCCACGTGGACATTGTGAGCAGGGCCGCCGTTTGGCGCATCTTGTGACCGTTCTGTAATGACCATCGTCGAGCTGGTTTCGTTTCAGGCGTTCCTGCCGTACGGCCTGAACTTCGAGCTGGACCTGACCAGCGGCCCGAACGGTGACTCGACCGCGTCCGAATTCCGCAACTACTTCGACCTCGACTCTGACCCACCTAAGGTAAGTGTTCTGTGACGCATGGTCGATGATCGCCGCCACCGCTGGCCTGACCACCGACCGCAGTTGGTCCATTGGTTGTTTGTCCACTTGTCGGTCGCCGATCGCCCGCCCATGCTGCCCCTGCAGTACGCATGCGCACGGGCCCCGGTTCTTGTTCTCCATTACCGCTTACTTCTTCGTCGTAGGTGCATATGTGCAGCCACTTCATCCTGAATGGTGTGTGCGTCGTTTGGAAGGGCTGGATCGACCGCATGTCACTGAAGGGAGATGGATGCCTCATGTTTGACAGCGCCCGGTCTGTCGTTGAGAACCGCAGGCTCGAGCGTGAGGTGAGTCCTCGTTTCATTTTAAACTTTCCACCGTCGTTTTACTCGGCCTCTGCAGACACCGTCTCAGCTTTGATGCTGATCTAACTGTGACTACCGTCTGCCCAGGGTTGAGTGTTTTTGCCGCACATCTTACTTCAGCGAACTTCCCCAGGCAAAGACGCCGTTTCTTTCACCGAGCTTCCTCCAAATCTCTCGCTAGTGATATTTGCTTCTGTACTCAATCAGAACCAGCAACGAATAACTCGGTTCAACCTTCGAACTACATTTCTCGTTTATCTCTAGTCCACGGATTTCGCCGTGTGACTTATCCTTTCGGTCAAGAATTTATCCACTGACTGTTTCAAGAGCCGGTATGTGTAAACTGAATCCTGCTCTCCGCCAACCACGGCGAGAGAACGCAACCATATTATATTCCATGTAGGTTTTCTTCATGGTTCCTCGACTTTCTGCACGTTTGTCGATTTGCTTAACTGGTCTCTGGCGCCAGCTACTTAGTAAATTTAATTTTGTGCATCGACCGCAGAACTTCGAACTGTTAATTTCAGATTCCACTAGATAAAGATATCTGGAATTTATAATACAGCGTTGATTTACTATTTTCTGTTGTCCTATAAGACAGCTCCTCATATATCGCACTGAGGAATCTTTGATGCTTTGCTTGTTTTTAGAGATGTATTCACCAGTTGTTTACATAACGAAGATTAACGTTAACGGGTTCTGTTATTGTTTATGTGAAGTTTGTAACGCTGTTTATCTGACCCTTATGGACTCCATCGCCAACATTGATTTCCGTCAGTTTATAAGATGACACAAAGCAAATTCGAGCTCAACAGCAAGGGTTTAAAAGTATCCTTTTCAAAATGGATTAGGCGGTACAACAGCAAAGATGGTCAAAAAATTGGCCTTCCGCTTTTTGATCTAAATGCACCGCGGTAGTAGCAACGTAATCATTGAACTCAACTTAGATAAACGCCTTTAGAGAAGCTTAAAGAAGGACAGAAAATGAAGGATCTGCCCGACGGGCGCCGTACGTTCTTGAGAGCATCATGGGAGGACAAAAGAGCTTAATCGTCCTGTCTAACCTCTGAACATTACATAACGTTAATGATATGCAAAAAGCACAGCGATCATTGTTTCACTACCGCAAGCGGACATTAAACCCATTAAAGATATTCTCAAATCTTGGTTATTCAATTAGCCGCAGTAGTTTAAAGTTTGTGTTTATCTTCGCTTCATACCTCAAATACTCCCTTGTTATCGTCTGTAACGCCACATCTGGCCAACATTCTGGCATCCGGCCGAATTGCTTTCTAGAACCACTCAGTAGCAATCGAATGAAGTAGTTCGGGTGTGGGGGGGGGAGGCAGTCACGCAGGGACGCGTCGT